TTTTTTTTTTACCTTGATCACTTTGAGGACTTTGGCACTCCAGTGCTGTCTCCTCCAGGTCCGGCTGTCCACCGGGTTAATGGCATTCAGGAAGACCTGAGCAGTGGATTGAGTGTAAGGCAGCAAAGGCTCATACTCTCCGTCATCTGAAACACACATATATACACACAAACACTTACAAACACATACATGCAAGAATTTCACAGACAAATGCAAACCAATAGTCTAAAAAAAATGGTTGATGAGTAGCATTTCAGAGCCAATGAAGCACACACAAACATAAAATGTAATGACTGAGCAAATAGAAACACTGTTACACCATACAGAATTTCCTTAAAGATGCAAAGTTCTCTCTCACTTTCACGGTTACCAATGCAGATAGCAACACACGCTTGCAAACTCCCATTATTATGAAATTACTGTGATGTTGAAAACAATCACGCATACATAACCCACCGAAACTCCAGCCACTTACTTAGCCAACATAGTTTTAAGTTGAGAGGAAGTGACCCACCGTGTGCTTGCATGCTGGCACTCTGAATTTCTCTATATGAATCAGATGGGAGAATCTCTCCTAAAAGTCAAGAACAGCACTCATTAATCTCTGCCCAGTGATCAGACTAACACTGCTGCAAGGCAAAGAGCATTATTTTTATTTCATAAACTTCATAACACTTTATTTAAATTGACATAGCTTTGGGTTTGCATTGTTGTGAACACTATATCTGAATGCGTGAGAGTTTAGTGCAGTTCATTCATATATTACTAGGAATGGGAATGAGTACTCAAGTAAGCAAATCTCAGTCACCAAAAACAATAATAATGTGAGTTTACAACACATTTTAACATGTTTACCTTAAATAAAATAAAAAAATTGTCACTCCTCATTCAGGAATTGTAATGTGACTGAAAGATGCTAAAAAAGAGTGTGGTGTGTGATTTGTGAGTTCAGTGCTGAGAAAGACTGCAGTCTTTACCCTGTTCTCTGCCTGAGGTCTGGGCCGATCCATTCAGTTGATGCTTCTGACGATTGTAAATATATGCACTAACAATCACAGTCAAAACATATGCAATATACAGCCCCAGATAACCTGTGGAGAACAAAAAAGAATGATAGGAAGAAACAGATGACTTGTCTAACAAGATGAAATAATAACTGTATCGATATATTATGCATGAAAGTGGAACATGCAGATTGAAAATGTGTACATTTCCTAAATGAATGAAAAGATGGTATAAATATGATTAAGTGAATAACGGTTATCGGACCCATGGCTTCTCCCATGGAAATATGGCCTTTATATAGGATAATGAAGGTCCAAAACACAGCTGCCATGTAGAAAATGACATCCCGAAGGAATGGACGGGACGCCACAGTGAAAGGCTTAACCAGAGCAATGCTTCCAGCTACCACTGTTGTAACAAAGATTCCCGCCCCTAGGAAAAAAATTCACATTAAGATAATGTTTTTTTTTTTTTTCAAGTTTTTTTAATGACTGATGAATCTGTTCAGAAGACTTTAATGTGAAGTGTGTAATTTCTGTGGCACCCAATGGAGCTGTATGAATACTGCTACTGTTCAGTCAAAACAAACAGTCTCGAGGTTATGGTCAAACCACTTGCATGATTCAAGCAACCTGCACAATTCAATTCTGTGCCATTTTTAGTTGAGAATTACACAGTTTACCTTAAATACTCCAACACGTCCTTGATGTTTATGTGTGTGAAGTAGGAAGTTTGGTATATGTTTAACAGAGCTGATCTCTCACCAAACAGTGCTCCAATGGCAAGACCAGCAGTCTGAGGGTGAGAAAAAGCAGCCATGGCACTGAACACATCTGGAGCCCCATTTCCAAGTGCCAGGAATGTTACTCCCTGTTCCACTCAGTCACGGAAAACAATGATTAAAAAATTAGATCAACACAACCTCAAAGCACAATTTGGACCTTGTCCAACAACCAAAACACAAACTTCTCACTGAGGATTCCACTCAGTCACACATACAACACACCCCGCTCAGTCATGCGCACACTTTTATGATACACAAACACACTTTAAAGACTCTTCTCACTCATGCACAAACTTCAAGAACACAAACCGCATTAGACTCCAACTACCGAGGATAACACAGTCTTGGCTAATGTTGGCATATGACCTAGTAACAGACCAGTCGTTTGATATGTTTAGTTGTTTAGCATGTTGTGATATTCTCTTCACTCCAGGACTCAGGAGTTTATCACTACTGTGGTTGATAAGGACTCAGCAGAAGTCCACAGCAGGAGTAATTAACTAGGGGTGTAAATCGGATGATTCGTCATGATACGATACGATATCGATTCTCATACCCAGCGATATGATATTTGCCAATACCTCAAAAAATTCTACGATACGATTACGATTCGATTCAATACAGGAGTATATCGATCGATATATCGATATTATGATAATATATACCTATTTTAAACAACCATCTACATTTCTATTAACTCACAAATGCAACCAAAATATATAACATGAACATTTATCTGAAATTTTCACATCCTGTACCTCAATTGGGACATTCACAACAAAAAATAGGCCCACACACATTTTGATGTAATTTTGTCTGTATTTATTCATCCATGCACAAAAAAGCGGAAGAGAGCATCTCAGGTTATGTATGTAACCATGGTTCCCGGAGTAGGGAACGAGACACTGCGTCCTCTAGGGGTCGCTATGGGGAACGCCTCGTCGTGACCCGTGTCTGAAGCATACATTCATAAAACACCAACAACACTTTGGCCGACGACAGCCCATGACGTTACTACCGGTGCGACTATAGTATAAATAGGCGTCGGGAGAACACATCATCCACTTCTTCGTCTGAAGCTTGTGTCCGAAGCATGGCAGGAAACCTAGAGGACACAGTGTCTCAGGGAACCATGGTTACACACGTAAGCTGAGACGTTCCCTTTCAAGGGAACTTCGAACTGCGTCCTATAGTGGTCGCTATGGGGAACGGTATACCCATGCCACCATGCTGAG